GTAGGTCACAGTTTGTGCTACTGTGGCCATAATGTCATGTAATTTTGGCCAGTATATGGGCATAAGTATGGACATAATGTCATGTATTTTGGGTATGAATTGTGCTACTCTCACATAATGTTTTGTAATGTATTTGGTTTTAATCTATTTGGTCAAAATTTGCAAAGTTGTTGTCTTCATTGTAGCCATAACCTAGTTATAATAAGGCATAAGCCAACAACCAAAAACCAATAAACAAAACCAAAGAAAACAATAAGGCATAAAACATACTCCATTAATTCATGGATTGGAGTGTGGATTTTTGGGGTGTCACATCCTCTCCCCCTTCAAAGAAGTTTCGTCCCTGAAACTTGGGTACAACGAATTAAAAGCGAATGGTAACAAGGAAACGAAATTGTGACAAGAAATTTCAAGAATAACTCTTTTGGTCAAAAACTTCCAAAAGAACTCACAAGGATTCCAAAGAAAAGAAGAAGACATTACGAATTCAAGGATCGGCAAGAGGTCAACAAACGGATAGATCAAGCATCAAGAACTCTACCCTCAACACAACTACCAACTTCTAGACAACAACCAAGAACTAAACTACTAACTCAAACACCACTAACAAACTAGCTAAACAACAAAGCAACAAACAAAACAAGCAAACACACAAAGCACACAACAACCTAACACCAAGCTAACAACGGCTAAGAAACAACAAGGAAGAAGCGAACGTGGTTACCGCAACACAAACTAGAACTCCTCACTCTCCGACTCCTCGGCGTCATCAGACTCCTCTTCGTCTTCGTCTCTGTGGCTAGAACTGGCTTCAATCTGGTCTGGCCTCTGATGCACTGCGACGAACTGCGCCTTCACAAACGCAAAGCCCTTGGTGATCAAACTGTTCTGCTGACGAAGTAAAGAGACGACGTCATGCTCTCTCTTAGTGCGAGCTTCCTTCCTTCTCCGACTTTCCTCACTGTCTGACTCACTTACTTCAGCTTCGGCGGTCTCCGGTGCTCCTTCTTCTTCTTCCTGATCTGCTTCCTCCTCACCTTCTTCGTCACCACCCAAACTCTGGACCACAAGGCTCAACTTCTTGGCATGGACTCCAAGCTCAGCAGCTAACTCTGCTCTCTCAACAGGTGTTTTCCTTGCAACCTCTTCAAGCGTGATGTACTCACCACTATCCAACTGAAACAGATTACAACTTTGGAGATTGGCGGTATCCAACACCAGCTTTCCCACAGCCTTTGGGAGACAGCCATCCACACTAACACCTTTCTTAACCAAGATCCAACTTAGCACCATTCCATACGGCAAACTCTTCCGGTTGTGATCCCGGCAAAACACCATGTGTTGCATCGTCAAAGCAGGCAGGTTGAACTTAACCATGTTCTTCAGACAGAAAGCAAAGGTGCACTCCAACTTACCCAACAAACTACTCTTGTTGTTATTAGGCAACAAACAATCTGACACCAACATCACCAAGATCCTTTGTTCCGCAGACAACCACTTCTTTTCCGGCCTCAAAGCTTGAGTGAAACCACTCGTACGGCCAAACAGATAGCTCAAATAGTCACGGTACCCCATGGTATCCGTACTAATCCATGAATGACCACTGTATTGAGCCACTCCGGTAGCAGACAAACTCAACAACTGAGCCAACCTCTTCTCAGACAACACAACCTTCACACCTCTCACCTTAGAGGTGATCTCAAGCCTTTCACCTTCCTTCGTCACAACTATGTGATGGTAAAACTCTTTCACCAAACTCGGGTAAGTCTCGGCCCTTATGGCGAGAAACCCATCCAACAAACCTTGAAACTTAAGCAAATCCAACAAGGAACTAGGAAAAGATTCCGGATCAAAAGCTTTACCTTCAAGCACAAGGTAGTGGGCATCCACCCATTCCGCTTTCCTAGCCAAACTTGACCTTCTAGGCATGACTGAAGATGATCCAAAGCTCAACCAAAAGAACTCAAGGCTCTCCTTCTACTCTTCTCTCTCTCTCTCGCTGAACTCTCTCTCTCGCGGCGGCGCGACGGCTCGGCGACGGCGAACGGCGGCGAGGCGGTGGCTTGGCGACGACGATGCGATGGGCAGGTTGGTGGTGGCGGGTTGCGAATGGAGTGACGGGGTGGGGTGGTGTTGGGTAGCTCACGGGTAGGAAGGAAAGAAAGAGAAAGAGAATTTGGGGAAATTAGGGATTTGGATGAGATTGGGGAAAAGATGATTAAGTTTGGGGATTTTGAACAAAATGGGAGTTTTAGGTTTAGATGGAATTAAAATAGGTTAGATTTCAAGAAAGATAATTGGCTTAAGTGGTTTAGAGGTTGGGTGGAAAAGGAATAGGCTAAGGTTCGAAATTCCAAAGCTATATTTAAACATTAGGCTTGGCTTTTAAGCTACACAAGGAAAGGTTTTTGGTATGGATTTTGCTATTTTCCAAATCAAAGAATACTTGGAAAAATTTAGGAAATGCACAAGGAATTGTTGTAAGAACAACCGAGTACAAGGGTAGAAGAATTGATCTAAGCACAAGATAACTCAAGGATAGATGGCTACCACAAGACAAGATTTAGATGCCAACTAAAGAAAACCCTTAGCAAGAAAAGAGTCTATACTAAGCATCCAACGAATAACTAACAAGGAAAACATGCCAAGGATTGCCAAACAAAGACAATTACGAAACACAAGATAGCACTCAAGGTAACAAAGAACACAACACTCTCGGGAAAACAATGATAGGCTCGAAAACAAGGGTTACATGCTAACTCTTCCTCTACCAAACCCTCCGACTCTGCCTGCGAACACGCCATCACGAAGACCCTCCCCGGCGGCCTAGCTCCAACGGCTCCGCGACCTGAACTCCCTCCTGGTGCTCCTCCGGCTCTCGGGGTTGGCGGCAACGCTCACTGACCGACAGGCTGGGGACACTCCGCGACTCTGTGACCAGCAACACCACAACGAAAACACCTAAACGCCTGGCCATAACTGTAACACCCCAGATTTTTAAGACATTTAAAAACTTATATAACAAGGGTGATATCACAATAAATCCCAAAGTGTAACATAAGTGTATGGGGTGCTATGCCACACCTGGGCTAGAGAACCCAAGTGCACAGGCAGTCTAGCTACTATCCTCCGAAATGTAAATGCATAACATGGCACGCAGGCCGAAAGGGAAACTACACTACGTCTAAGTCCCAGCTCTAGCGCGCTCCAGTGCTCTAATCCTCAGTGCCTGAAAGCCAAATATATCTGTTCAGCGAGAGATGCTGGTAACCGACTCCAACGTGTTAAAATACAATACATATAGCAATATATATAGATATACGAAACCATTTGAGCATGAAATATATCCTACGAACTCTAGCTTTAAAACCGGGAATGACTCGATAGATAAGGCCGGACACAAGCAACAGTTATAGCAAGCATATGCAGTTCATAATAGATAAGGCAGATAAGGTAAGGCATAACAATAGTCATAACTCAACATAAGTAGTTCCCAACATAAATCCCATAGTCACATCCCCCAAGATACTCGTAATCGCAACTCATCCATAACACAACACATAGCACATTTTGTTGGCGCCACAGGACCAATCGCATGCCCATACATGAGGGTCAGCGCATATAGCTCTGACACGGCCCCGCAGCACCCTACCCCGTATCGCAACACGGAGGGGTCGATCGCAACCGACCGATGAACCACAGCTCATCATAGTGTTTGATCGCAACCAAACAGTGGACCGCAGCCCAAGAGAATGTCATCTGACCGCAGCCAGGAAAGAGGACGAACCGCAGCTCGTATTGAAACATTTGATCGCAACCAAACGGTGGACCGCAGCCCAAGAATACCAATCTGACCGCAGCCAGCTTCTGAACCGCAGCTCAGGATAACCAATCCGATCGCAACCGAATCGGGGTAACACACACACACATAACACGTAGGAAGCACATGCAACCCACATTACACGTTGGGAAGGGAATACAGCGTATAAATAACCCTATGCGTGATCCATCACATACTGAGAATAGTCCTAAGGGTTCATACTTCTTCCACCTAGGTCAACGGGATACCAATTCAACTAGCATGCAATACAATAGACCCATAAACCTATGAACGGTACCCGAAACATCGAACTAGACATAGGCACGATAAACGGGGTCCGTTGGGACACCACGGGGATCGGGGAAACATCAAACGGGGAAGCCGGGGTCCCGGTGGGACAAATTTCCAGCGGGTAGCCGGTGGGTGGGGGGCCACCCGCCGGCTACCCGCCGGATTCTACTGTTCCGGGCAGCGGGTCGCCGGCGGGCAGCTGCCCGCCCGCCGGCCGCCCGCTGCCGGGAACACTGTTCCGGCAGTGGGTAGGTGGCGGGTCCCCTACCCCCCACCTACCCCCCACTGACTCTTTTCATCACTTTTCGCCCCGGGAACCAAAGTGGAACCCGAAACCATGCTTAGACACTTTACAACGTAATTAACGGCAACACGTAGACAATTAACGGATCAAATACGAGAAACGAACGACACTTATCCTATCATGCTTTTCTAACATAATCAACTCCCAAACATGCGATTTCCCACCCGATAATCCAAGAATCAAAGCATACGGTGCAACCTAGGGTTCTAATCACTTTTATGTTAACAAGAATACGATTCGTCTTCTAATTGCAAGATTCGGTAGGAACAACACATAATCATCAAGGATACCAATTAATCATCAAGAACATCATAATCGTCAAACACATAATCATCAAGAATACCAATTAATCATCAAGAACATCATAATTATCAAGAAACTCCCAATATCAAGATTATCAAGATTCCCCATGGAATCATCAAATCAACATCAATAATAATCACCATAATTTCGCCATTCACAATAATATGGGGGAAACCCTAAGGGGAATTCATAACTATGAAAATAGGTTTTGTTGAGACATGGGTTACCTCTTAGCCTTAATTAATTCCTTGGCTATGAAGGGTCTTTCTTTAAGCTTTCTTGATTTCTTGATTTCTCCTAAGGGAATTCTTGGAACTCTTTGGGTGGTGAGAGATTATTGTGGTGGGAATTCTAGGTGCCTCCTAAGTTCCCTATTTATATATTTAAAACTCCTAATTAGGGCCTGAATGGTATGGGTTTACTAATTCTATTCCTTATAGGACTCAGGGACTTGCTTTAGGGATAAGGGTCCATGATCCACATTGGACCATATTAATTAAAGCGGATCCTAATCACAATCTGAATAGTAAAAGGCCTACTTCCTTTATTCCTAATAGATAACTAGGTCTAGGATTCCTAATTAGGATCTGAATAGTAAAAGGTTTACTTTCTTTATTCCTAATAGGCTTAAGCCTCTAATTTAGGCAAGGGTCCACGGTTCATGGTGGACCCTATTAATTAATTAAAGGGGAACTTAACATAATTAAATCATATTTAATTATTATTAGCGGGATTAATTAAATAATTAATCCAGGATTAAAGGCCGTAACACGGGGTGTTACAATAACAATCTTGGCCCGGGTGCACCTTCCCACACCTACAACAACCTACCGACTTAGCTTGAACCTGAGGCTCCATCCTAACTGGTCCTTGAGAAGAAGATGACACAACTCTAGCCGGAAAACTCGGTCGGGGCTTCTTGAAGGCAGAAGAACCTCCACTCTCAACTCTCTTCCTAGCCAACTCAAGCGAACTCTTCTGAAGCTGCTGAACACGAAACAGATCTGCGGCACACAGATACGCATCCTTGATTGAACTGGGCCTACTCACCGTCAACGCTTTTCGTGCCTCATAATTCAGACCGGCAACGAAATGCTCAACCTTGGCAAGCTCTGTAGGCACCAACATCCTCGCGAAGCGCGCCAGCTCTAAGAACTTCTTGTGGTACTCAACCACATATAGAGGTCCTTGCGGCAGATGAAGGAACTCATCAAACATGGCGGCTCGCATATGCGCTGGGTAGAACCTTTCGCGCATTCTGTCCTTGAGCGCGGTCCAATCAAACCCAGGCTCTTCAAGGAAGGTCGGACTCTCGTGAACCCACCACAGATCAGCTTCTTGGCAGAAGTAAAACGTTGCCAGTTCTACTCTTCTCTCTTCGAGACAGCCCACCACGGTGAAAATCTTATCAAACACCCGTAGCCACTCTTCAAGGACTACAGGGTCTTCATCGCCAGCGAAGGATGGCGGCCGATGACCTGACACTAAACGACTTACATCGCGATGCCCAGCAGGAGGCGGAGGCGGAGGCGGCACAGCTTGATTGTTGTTCAATAGAGCTTCATGAGCGGCTGCATTGTCTGTGTCAGCTGATGGAGATTCTGAGCGAGCTGCTCGTTGGTCGGGGTCTCTGGGGTGCGAGCGCGGGGACGAGGAGGCATCGCAAACTTCTACAACAACAACGAGATTACCAAAAAGCAAACAAGCAATACAGAAAGCAGCACACATCTCACCGCGCAACCTAGAGTCCTAAGCCTAACACTTAGCTTCTTAAGGTCGCTAAGAGGTCTCAAAACACACTTAACCACTTAGAAAGTCTAGACTTAACTCATCCTAGGCTCTGATACCAACTGTAACACCCCCCAAAACCAAGGCCCAATTGAAGCCCTAACACAAGCAGATTAACAACAAAACTAGCACAGCGGAAGATAAACGCAAACTGGATAAAAGAAATCTAAAAAGGGGTGTTATGCCACGTATACCACACTAGGTAACGCTAAGGCAACAATCTGCAAGTGTATAACACTATCTCAATACATCAATCTAAAACAGTCTAAGAACATTGGCGCACAGGCCACAAAAAAAAAACCACAGTCTAAAGGAGAAGGTACTAAGCTACCAGGCTCTAGACATCGCGCTCGTCTAAACATCACCTGAAAGGTACAAAGATAAACATTGGGACGACGCCCGGTCAGCGAATAATGCTGGTAACCCACCAATACCGTTAAGTATCATATACATAGGTATATATAAGATATAAAAACCATTTTTGAAACGGAATACATAAGTATATAAGTTAAAAGCCAAGATCAAAAGACAACACAAGACTCATCACTCATAAGGATAACACCGGGAACACATCCCAAACCACAAAGGTTAACCACACACTAGGATAAAGACTCACCCAACGGCAACACATACCAAACAACACGAGCCTCCGTGACTACACACGTCACGAGAGAAGATTACACAATGCCGGCTTTACAAGCCCTCGCAACATCACCCATCGCGAGTTGGTATGCCTTCCTTATGCCCTGTTCCAACCTTATGGCTACCCCCAACCTTGTACCTTCAAGCCAACCATTACCTCCAGGATCCTCTGTACAGCCAAGTCCAACCTTATTCCGCCGGGACCGTCGCCCCCCACCTATAACCACCAACGAACCACCACCAATCACAGCAACATATGCCCGGATAACACATGTTATCCCCCAAATCACGTGGACCCATCACTCAGGCCACAACTCCATAATCACGTCATGACCACCAAGAGGACCGCTGCAATACCTTGGTGACTAGTGTCCTATACCACTAATCGTGCAATCCAGGTAGAGCCACACACGCACCACAACTCACACGAGAATCAATCAACGGATTGGAATGAAGGTATGAAACACACTCAATCAAGGAACAGGTCACAGCCCAATAACAACAACGATGAATAACACAAGTTATCATCAACCAAACGGAAGGTACAAACCACACACACGCTAGTATTAAGACAATGAACTAGCATGCTTAACAACGGGGAAACTCAAGATAGTTCCGAGGAACACACAAGACACCTCTTGGTTCAACGAAACACAATGTTGAACACTTAGCACGATTCAAGACACCAGAGTACTACATGGATACCTACCATATAGTTCTAGACCTACGAAACATCAAGAAGACGCTCAAGTAGTTCCACAAAAGAACATCGGGAAGCCAAAAGATCAAATACCGAGACAAACAAATCACGGGGAACAAATCCCAAATGACCATCGTGTTCCCCGCGGGTGGACCCATGGGTAGTGCCCCACCCGTGGTCCCGCCCACGGGAACACCTCCCCACAGGCCTATCTACCCGCGGGTAGGTCGGAGGGTGGTGCCCCGCCCGCCGTTCAACCCGCGGGAACATCCCTGTTCCACAACAAATCCCTTCGGGGATTTTCTTCTCCAAACTCAAATTCAAGTCCAAAACATGCCAAATCTCACCCAACACAAAAAAATGACTTGAATAATGGAAAATGCCAAGCAATGGCACAATGGAACCCTAAACACAAGCTCTAGATATGCAATATCACAAGATAAATGCATAAACCCTCACATTTCATAGCAAAGAACAAGTAGAATCCAAGAAATCACATATAGGTAAGCAAAATAGGTTTTGTAGAGCATGGGTTACCTCTTGAAGACCAAAAGACTTCTATTATGCCACAACAAGCTCTCCACAAAGCTCACTAGCCAAACCCACTTCAAGGTCAAACCAAAAGATCATAAAGATCCTACCTTTAAGAAAACGACAACTAAGATGGAACCAAAAAGACTAGACAAGCTTAGATCTTACCCTCCTAGATGCCCAAATAGGTGAAAGGTTGAATCTTTGAAGCAAAACTTGGAATCTTGACAAGGGTCTTAACTTGGCTTGAAGAACAAGCTACTCTTCTTTTCTAGAGAGAAGGTAGAGATATTTTCTAGGAATTGTAAGGGATGAAAAGAAGAAGTCTTCTAGGTTTAGGTTACAATACTAACTCTTGGTGAAAAGACAAGGATACCCTTACTAACCCTTATAAAGTGTAAGGAACAAAGGGAACTCCCTTCAAAGCACAAGGTACAACACAACTTAAAGATTGACAAGTCAAATACTAGTCCTTGAGTATTAAAAATCAGGATTTTAGGAATCAATCCCTCAAAAGAATTAGAATTAATTACTCAATTAATTCATGGATTGGAGTGTGGATTTTTGAGGTGTCACACATCAACCCAAGTATGTTGATTAAGCATTGTAGAAAGTGCAACAAGACAAGGCATAACTCAAGAACATGTCCTGAAAATAGGAGTAGAAGACAACACAGGTAATGAGTTCTTCTGCTATTGTTGTGGCTTTAATGAATACCTTACATTAATCTCTTTAATTTATTGTCATGTACGTTAATCCAAAGAGAAAGAATACAAAGAAGAAAATTGTTGTGCCACCTACTGCTGTGCTACCTTCTGCTATGCCACCTACTACTGTGCCACCTTCTACTATACCACCTACTGTTGTGCCACATTTTGTTGTGCCACCTTCTACTGCTGCTCCTGCTCAAGGATCAGAAGGGGTGATAAAGGAAATTCAACATTTCTAGAATGAAGCAGAAAGGGTAGCCTCTTTGTTTGACATTCACATTGGAGTACAAGCTCAGCCTGAATAGATAATTACTCAGCCAAAGTTTGGAGTTAACACCACTCAGCAAGAACAACAACCTTTGTCTCAGCCTAAAGAAATGACAACCTTTAAACCTCCTCCCAAAAGGTCTAGATTAGGGTTGAAGACCTCTAAAGTGGCAACCACTTCAAATCATCCCAGGACAAGATCTAGAACATCTCTAAGATGCAAATTCACTAACACCAAGGACACCCCTCTCAATCGGGATTGAAAAATGTTAGCATCTGGGCAATTTATGCAACTATTATGTATTTTTGGCTTTGTTGACAGTTTATGCTACTTATGTACAGACAAATATGTATTTTTTTTGTCTGACTTTGTACTTATGGGTGTAGGTCACAGTTTGTGCTACTGTGGCCATAATGTCATGTAATTTTGGCCAGTATATGGGCATAAGTATGGACATAATGTCATGTATTTTGGGTATGAATTGTGCTACTCTCACATAATGTTTTGTAATGTATTTGGTTTTAATCTATTTGGTCAAAATTTTCAAAGTTGTTGTCTTCATTGTAGCCATAACCTAGTTCTAATAAGGCATAAGCCAACAACCAAAAACCAATAAACAAAACCAAAGAAAACAATAAGGCATAAAACATACTCCATTACCAACATCTTCCATTGCCAAACAAAACTATTTCATTTGCAATACAAATCTATCTTATGGGAACATATAAACATTCTTGCCTACCCCTACCCTCTCATTCTTCCTTATAGTATTTATAACATACAGAATTAATACTGCAAACATGGCAACTACAAGAACCATCTTTATGGTGTACAGTTTCCAATCATATGCATATCTTTCTTTTTAGAATCTTGCCCTCTTGGTAGACTACTCAGCTTCGATTTTAACATCACCATTTCTTCTTCATATTTGTTAATTTTCCTCAACAACCCGGGTATAATCCTCTTTGACCTAGGCAGGGCCGGATTTGGGGCTGTGCAAGCTGGGCTACAGCACAGGGCCCCAAATTTTTGAGGGCCCAATACCTTAATACCTAGTTAAGAAATTTATAAAAAATGATTATTAATTGTAAAATACCCGATCAATTTTCTCCAACATTAATTAAAATTTAATAACGTAATTAATTGAGCAATCAATAATGTTGTTTCCCGATGTTCTTCGTCTTCTTTAACGATTGACAGAGAATTGAGAGGATTTCAATTCATCTTAATCTTCTTTGACAGTAGTTCGTCCAAACTGAAAGTCTGAAACTCTAGTACTCCACAGTCCACGAACGCACGAGCGGAAATACAGAACAATTTTGAGTTGTTCACGGTCCACAACTCCACAACTCCTGAAACTGCAAAAGTGCAAATGTAACCTTATTGGACTATGTCACTATGTCATATCCACATTTTAGTATTTTACTATGTTATTTCATACATGATACATCCAAATAAGAACAACTTTAATTTAATCATCCTCTGAGCATATTCAATTCAAACTTCTTTTTTTTTTTTTTTTTTTGCTGGATGATTCAATTCAAGTTCCATAGGCAGTAGGCAGTAGCTAGTAGCAAACCAAGAAAATAAACAAAAAACAAGGACTTTTCGATCAGGTTGTTTCAATCATTTTTCACTTTAAATTTTTAATTTTATATGTCATATGTGTAATGTGTTTGCTCCTTGCCTATTTGTTAGAGTATTTTTATTTGATAACTTTGATTTCAATTGCTAAATCTGTGAATTGGATATTTGCATATTATGGCTCCTGGCATTAGAAAACATGAATCTGGTTATGAAAAATGTAAAAAAAATAAAAAAAAATGAAGAGTTACAATGATTACAAAGAGGAGCATTAGATAAGTTTGTAATAAAACACCACAAGTTTCTTCTGAAAATACAAATGTTGGTGTTGATATTGACAATGAAAACAATGTGGATAATCATCATGATGCTAATGTTGAAAACGGTGATAATGTGTATATTGATATTGACAATATTGATCAAGTAGAGAATGAAAATATAAATGATTCACCCAACAATGATGATGATGCTTTATATGAAAGTAAAGAAACTAACAATAGTGATGTTGGCCAAGATTATTCGTGTGAAAATTTTCCTTTGCTTGATATTTTTTATCCAAGAAATTGGGGTGGACTTGATTCGAAAATGATAGATTTATTAGTAATCAAGGGACCTAAGAGAGATAATTCTATTGTAAAAGGTCCTAAAGATAAGTTTTCTAGGCGATTTACTGCAAATTTGTATACTAGGGTCTTATCAAATGCAGAAAGATGTGATAGGGAATGACTAGTTTACTCAAAAGAGCTTGATAGAGTTTTTTGTTTTTGTTGCAAAATCTTTAAAAATGGTATTGGTAGAGGTCAATTAACAAATGAAGGTTTCAATAATTGGGCTCATATTGGTGAAAGACTTCAAGAACATGAGACATGTGTGGAGCATATTAAAAATATGACGACTTGGTATGATTTGCGTCAAAGGTTTAAGAAAAATCAAACCATTGACAAAGTCGCTCAAGAATTAATTAAGACGGAGAAAGATCATTGGAAAAGAGTTTTGTTAAGGATTATTTCTTTTGTTAAGTTTCTTGGCACATGTAATTTAGCCTTTCGTGGTACTAATGAGAAATTGTATCAAAATGGCAATGGAAACTTTTTAGGCTTAGTTGAAATGGTGGCTAAATTTGACCATATTATCCAAAAACATGTTAGGCGTATTAAAAATGAAGAAATTTACTTTCATTTCTTGGTCTTAGCATTCAAAATGAACTAATATCTTTGCTTGCTTCCTCGATGAAATCTGAAATATTAAAAAAAAAACAAGCAAAATACTTTTCTGTAATACTAGATTGTACTCCTGATATCAGCCACAATGAATAAATGTCATTAATAATAAGATAAATAATAAGATATGTGGATGTCTCTACACATCAAGTTAATATTGATGAGTCTTTTTTAGGATTTTTGAATGTGAATGATTCAACTAGACTAGGTCTTTTTAGTACTTTGCAAAATGAATTGCACCTTCTTGATCTTAATAGTTTTTATATACATGGACAATTTTATGATAATGGGTCAAATATGAAGGGCAAACATCAAGGTGTGCAAAAAATACTTTTAGATGAAAATCCTAGAGCTTTTTATACTCCATGTGGTTGCCATAGTCTTAATTTAGTTTTATGTGATATGGCAAATGCTTGTAGTAAAGCCAAATGAGTTTTTGGAGTTATACAACGCATATATACAATTTTTGCAAAATCTACCAAGAGATGGGGTATTTTGAAAGATAATGTACATGGTTTAACTCTTAAGTCATTGTCTGAGTCGTGTTGAGAGTGTCTAAGGCATAAGATTTCAAACGGTAGAAATACGAGAGGCGTTACTCCAAGTTGCAGATGTTGATGGTGATTCCTCAGTAAGAAGTGAAGCTAAATCTTTAGCAACAAATGAACTTGGTGATTTTAAATTTTTGGTAGCTATAGTAATATGGTTCGATATATTGTATCGTATTAATTTTGTTAGCAAGTACTTGCAATCCAAAGACATGCTTACTGATGTTGCTTTCAAAAAAAATTGAGGAATTGATTTCTGTTTTTGAGAAATATAGAGAAAGTGGTTTTAATGATGCATTGGATTCTGCTAAGGAAATTGCTATTAAAATGGATATAGACCCTGTTTTTCCTAAGAGACATGAAATCCGTAGAAAAAAAACAATTCGATGAAAATTAAAATGCATCATTAGAAGTTTCATTATTGCAGAAGATTCATTTAGAGTTAACTATTTTTTTTCATTGTTGATCAAGCCGTTGTTTCTCTTAAAAGTAGGTTTGAGCAATTTCAAGAGTATGAGAAAATATTTGGTTTCTTGTTTAATTCTGACAGGTTAAGTTCTTTAGATGATTTGAGTTTGAAGTCTTCCTGTAGTCGTCTTGAAAATTCTCTTAAGCATAATGGACATTCAGATATTAATGGAGATGAGTTGTATGTGGAGTTAAAAATAAAAAGAGAGTTGTATGTTAATAATGAAAAACTAGGACCCATTGAAATTTTGAAAGATTTGGAATTGTTTGATTGTTATCCTAATGCAGTTATTGCATACAGAATTTTATTAACTATTCCTGTTACTGTTGCATCTACAGAGAGAAGTTTTTCCAAGTTGAAATTGTTGAAGACCTACTTACGCTCTACAATGTCACAAGAAAGGCTTAGTGGATTAGCAATGATATATGTTGAAAATGACCTTTTGGATAAAGTAGATTATGAAGAGTTCATTGATGAATTTGCATTAAAGAATGCTAGAAGGACATCTGTTTTTTTTTTAAAAGATCTCTAGTTTGCATTATGTTAGAATTTTATTTATAATAAACAGAGTTGTTTGAATTTTTCTTCTTTATATTGAAAAATAATATATAAATAAAAATCATATATTTTACGATATTGGTTTTAAATATTGAGCTTATACTTTTGATAGGGACCGTAGGGCCTCATTTATTTAGGAGCATGGGGCCACAAAAAACTAAAAAAACTGTTGCGCAGCAAGAAAGGGAAACTAGAGAGTAGTGGAATTAAGGGTAAGGAAGAAACTAGTATCTGCTTTTTTTTTTATTTTTTTATTTTTTATTTCCAATCAACTTTAGGAGAGAGATGAACATGGTTTATATACAAGAGGTCTAACAGCTTAGCTACTGGACTTAACTACTGCTAACCACTATTACAAGAAGCTAACAACCCATAACAGAAAGAGTAACTATCATAACTGCCTGGTATTTGCTAGTTGATGGATAGAGCATTGCTGCTGAGCTTTGTATCTTCTGAGAGCCCCCCGCAAGCTGGATTTTATAGGTTAAACAATCCCAGCATGGAAACATATTTGAAGAAAGAATTTGGACAGTGAGCTTTAGTTAGAACATCTGCCAATTGATTTTCTGAGGTGACATGAAATAGCTTGATGATCCCCTTGTGTAGATTCTCTCTAACAAGGTGGCAATCTATCTCTATATGCTTGGTTCTTTCATGGTAGACAGGATTTTCAGCAATGGCTATTGCAGACTTGCTGTCACAGTAGATAACTGTAGGAATATTAGGATGCATACCAAATTCATCATGTAAATAAATCAACCATTGAACTTCACATGTAGTTGCTAATAAAGCTCTATATTCTGCCTCTGAGGAGGATCTAGATATGGTTAGTTGTTTCTTGGACTTCCAAGATACCCGAGCTTCACCTAGAAAGATGCAAAAGCTAGTAACATACTTTCTAGAATCAACACAAGCACCCCAATTAGAATCAGAGAAAACCTTTAACTGAATATCAGAACCAGCTGGAAAGAAAAGGCCTTGCCCAGGGGCTTGCTTGAGATATCTTAACACCCTGTGAGCTACCTGCAAGTGTAGATGTGTAGGTTTATCTAGAAACTGAGATAACTGTTGTGTGGCAAAGCTTATGTCAGGCCTTATGATGTTTAGATACAAAAGCTTTCCAATAAGTATTCTATACTGAGTATTATCATCAAGAAGATCTCCTTCATTTCTGCTCAACTTGTGAGAAGGAACTGTGGGGCTATGCACAGCCTTGGATCTCCATGGAGGAAAGCATTGTTCACATCCATTTGATGTAAATGCCACTCTTTTGCTGCTGCTACTACTAATAAGGTCCTAATGGTGGTCATCTTGGCCACTGGACCGAAGGTTTCTAGGTAGTCAATCCCAGGAGTTTGTGTGTAGCCATTTGCCACTAGTCTTGCCTTGTACCTCTCAACAGTACCATCTGCTTTGTATTTGATTTTGTACACCCATCTACACCCAATAGGTTTCTTGGTTGGTGTAAAATCAACCATTTCCCAGGTATTATTACTTTTCAAAGAAACAATTTCATTTTCCATTGCCTTCCTCCAACATTCATGTTTCACAACTTCCTTCTAGCTTTTTGGTTCAGTCTGGCAATCAATATTCATCACAAAGGAATGAAAAGAGGTTGAGCGTTTTGTGTAGTTCACTACCTTAGAGACATCATGAGGAGATGATCTAGCTATGGAACTGTGACATAAATAATCCTCCAAGTAAGTTGGGAGGTTCCTTTGCCTAGTAGATATCCTGATAGCTGGTTGTGGGGGTTCTACTGGAGAAAAGCTGACTGTCTGATCAGATTCTTCTGCTGTTTGTCCAGCTGCCTCATGAATAGAAGGACTATGGAATAATGATGTTGGACCATGACTTCTGTCAGTGTCCCTGTCAATGTGAGGAGGGCCCTGTGAGTCATCAGATACCCCTGTTGATACATCAGTTGGTAAAATAACTTGAGAAAATTCCTTTTCTGAATTAGCACCATAATGAAAAGGGAATGAGTCCTCATAAAATATCACATCTCTTGATAGAAAAATCAATCTTGAATGCAAATCATACAGCTTATATCCCTTAGTGCCATTAGCATATCCCATAAAAATACACTTCTTAGCTCTAGCATCAAATTTTGACTTTGGTCCTACTGTAGCAGCAAAGGTCAGGCATCCAAAAACTTTCAAATGTTGATATTGAGGAACCCTGTTGAGCAAGACCTGATAAGGGATTTTATTATCAATGGCAGTAGATGGCAACCTATTTATGATGTAAGATGCATGTAATATACATTCTCCCCAGACAAACTCTGGTAGATTTGCTTGGAAGCTTAATTCCCTAGCAATGGATAGAAGGTGACCATGTTTCCTTTCAACCCTACTGTTCCGCTGAGGGGTGTGGGTACAAGATGATTGATGCATTATCCCTTTTTGGATGAAAAAATGGACATATCAAACTCAAGGACATTATCTGACCTTATACCCTTGACACATGATCCAAACTGAACTTCCACCATTTTGCAGAACCCCACAATCAGACTTCTAACCTAAGATTTCTTCTTCATCAAGTGTATCCATACTGCCTTACTATGGTCATCAACTATTGTAAGAAAGTAATGGTGACCATAGATGGTAGCAGTCTTATAAGGCCCCCAAATGTCCATGTGTAAGAGATCAAAGCAAGCATCTGAAATAGAGTTACTAGAATGGAATGGAAGCCTTTTCTGTTTGGCAAAGTGACAACAATCACAAACTAAATTCTTATTCATTTGAATTGTAGAATCCAACTCATGCAACAACTGAATCTTAGAGAGTGAAGCATGCCTTAATCTAGCATGCCACAAGCTACATTTATTCAACTTTGAAACAATGCTATTTACATATTATGAAATAGTAGGAAAAGTTAGATGATGCAGCCCATTCTGAAGTTCAGCTACTCCAATCTTCTTGCCATGGATATCACCCTGTATGATACACTGATTAGTGTGCAATTTCATGGTGCAATTGGAGTCTTTGATGAGAGCTCCTAAAGATATTAAGTTGTACTGAAAACCAGGGACATATAGGACATTGTGCAGAATGAGATCATTAGAAAGATGTACAGAACTAGTGTAGGTTATATCAACTTGATGTCCATTAGGCAAACCAACATGCACGTTTTGGACACCACTTTGATTTGTCAATAGATTCAGTCTACAAACAACATGATGAGTGGCACCACTATCTAATATCCACTCATTATCCCTGAATTTTGTTAGATTAAAAGATGGTTTTGTACCATCAGTTTGGCCTCCTGGCATGATGTTGGCAGTAAAGGTGTTAGCATATACTTCATGATTTAATTGATCCAGGGGCGTGTTTAAGGATCCTCTCTCAAAAGACTTTTGTGCTTGCATAAATTCCAGGAATATCTTGAAGTCATTCTGAGTGAAAGAAACTTCATCACCATGAGCTGAGTGCTGGGGTATTGAAGGTCTCTGAGTATGGTTGACAGACCCTTGACTTCTTGATTTATGCTTCCATCCGGGAGGGTACCCATGTTTTTTATAGCACTTATCCTCTGTGTGCCCTGTGAATCCACAAAAGGTACACAAGGGCTTCTTGTTACCTCCTGCAAATTTCTTGAAGTTCTGCTGTTGGTTATTACCAGTCCTGGTCATTAAGACACTGCTTGTGGCACCAACTTCTCCTGCTTGATATAAGTGGCTACCAATTCCATTGGTGCTAATATGAAATTGTCTTTCTTGTTGTGCTATCATTGAGTAGGAATCACATACATCCGGCAAGGGTCTCATAAGCATGATTTGATTCCTAGCACCTGTAAAACTATCATTTAATCCAATAAGAAATATAGACAGCTTGTCCTTCTCATCTTGTTCATTTACTTCATCAATCTTGTAATTTTGCATTTCCTCAAATTAAGATTATTATAGATAATCGACTGATGTATTGTACTGACTGATTTAGAGAGGTGAATTGTCAGTTAGTTCGATAGATCGCATATTCGTTTGTGAAGAGAATAAACTAAAGCAGGTAATAAAACAACACTTACGATGTTTACCCAGTTCGATACAGTGTGTATCTACATCTGGGGGACGATCACTGAGGCGTCCAATCCACTAACTCATAATCCAATGTACAAAGGTAGAGAAACAATAATCTCACCCAAGTTCCCCACACAAGGTACGTACCCAGTCTACAAAGGTTTAGTGGATTGTTGAAGTCGGAGATCCACGCTTGCAGAAGTCCAATGAAATCCCTTCAATTGGAGAGCTAACTCTGATGTAGTCCGCTTCAATGACGCAATCCAATGTTGTTCCCACAACAATGTGATCTTCGCATCCTTTTGTTTAAGCAACGATAGTTCTTCTCAAGTTCTTCATCATAATCACCAAGAACTAATTGTCTTGAGAAGAGGCATGATAATCAAATATATATCCTTTGTATAGCAAGGAGTGTTCCTGTCTTCTTAAAATCGTAACCCTAACTCATGACCGAATGAGGGTACTTATACTTCCATAGTAAGAACACTCTCGAAAAATATCTTTGATTGTAGATGGGCGGACGATTTGTGAAGAATGCAATCTTAAAGATTCGGTCCATACCTTCCAAAATAGATCTACTGATTTTCTTTCCAAAGCTGTCTTCTTAAACCGCGTTCAGTATTTTGGAAACATCTTTCTTTATCAGATCATCAGTGTTAGTGTGTCTGTTGATGTACCTGATCAATCAGTCTTCTGTAAAAACAAACAGACACCAAGCTAAACCCTATCTTAGTTTGCCAAAATTATATTGTCAATTATATGTTGGGGTTTTTTTAAAAATAAAAACACTAACAAAGTCCCCCTTTGGCTATTATTTGGCAAAA